ATCAATGGAACTCTCCTGAACCGGGCCTTACTTCCCAAAGTTACTCATTCCCTGTATGAAATTAGATCATGTTTTGACTTGGTCATATCTTTCTTCATTATACAAGATTTGTTCTAATCAGTTAAACTTTTAATCAAGACTTCTTGCTCTATTCTCAATGGAGGTTCTTTGTTATTCTTTGATGTATCATAATTTTGGAACAAATCCCACTGCTGATTTGGGAAGCCATCGTTCTGATTGACTTCCTTTGAAGACACTTTTCTACCTGCCCAAACCTATCTTTATGACAATGAAAACAAATGCGAAGGCATTCTACCTTTCAGACCTCAATACAACACTCATGATCTAATTTCCCGAGTCTCTGGGCTTTTCAATCTTTAATTTTTGTCATCTTTTGCCTTCTTCCATTGCATGACAGCCCAGTAGAGAAAAGGAACCTTCATTCTCTATTCCATTCTGCATCTAGTCTTCATTATGGTTTTCAGCAGCAGCCATGCTGCAGCAATACTGCCGTTACTTGAATATCCAAAGGCTATACACGGTAGGCAATGGGCTTACCTGCATTTTAAAAGACATGGAGATTCCTATTTTGGTACGAGTGTTGTTTTTTTTTCTGTCTGTAAATACACACAAATAACATCTGTGCTCCTCAACTACTTACAACTGTTTTGCTGTATACAAATGCATTCATTCTCTTTCACAGAGTAAATATTTAGTAAGTACCTACCAAGTGCAAGATGCTGTGCTAGATAATGATTGATGGAAGTTTATAATAAAATAAAAGTGTCTAGACAAGATGATGCTAAATTTGAGTGCGCCAGTGGTCATTTTCATTGTTACAATAGGCATGTTCTTCTCAGATCCACTGATACACCGGAGCCTCCAACACCATCAACTTTCAGGAAGTGACGGTGTTTCAGATGGACCTAAGGGGAGATCGGATAGGCTTCCAGAGTCGTTTTCTATCTGCAGAAACCCTGGGAATGTCAGGAGACACCTTAGCATGCAGCGCACACCTCAGTATCAAGCACACACACGTGCTCAGGGAATCACAAACTGAGTTGAGATCTCAGGAGTAAATCAGGTGTGGGGGAAAACAAAACAAGCGGCTCTTTCTAAGTATGTGTGACACACATATAAACCCACAGCTCTCAGAAGTATATGAACAAAGCTGTGTGTTATCGCATTCCGCGGCGAGAGAAGTTAATTAGACAGGGACCGGCAAAGGCAGATACTATTCATGAAAATGAAGAGAACAAGGTTCTTAGGCAGATGGGCCACTGCTCTTTCAGCAGATGGCTTTGCTAATTAGATACTGGCAAAAGATTATATTAAAAAACAACTAGTTTAATTACACGGTGCCAAAAATTAACAACTACCTGAGGGCTTTCTTTTTTTTATATATGTTTGCATTCATTTTCTTATGTCATGTATTTCTGTGGAACACTGGAGAACGTTAAATTGCCACGGCGATTATAAACAAATTGCCAGGGAATGTGAGGCCATGTCTTTGTTTAAAACAGAAGCAAAACGCAAGTGAATTGGAACCTGAATTAATTGTGATCTTTATGTGACTTGACTGAGTGTCCACCTAATTATCCTGGAGCATAGATATCATCACTAATTACCTTCAGTGGTCACATGTGGCAGGTTCAAAACAAGTGGCATTTAAGACGGAAAGGTGTGCACTGAAACAAAAAAGGGTAAGCAGTCATTTTGGGAGGATTTGTCCAACACTACTCTCTGCCTTTATTTTTTAGTGGATATCAAGTGTATGTGTTCACGTTTAATATTAATTTGCCATAAACTTGCATTTGTGTCCATGTCAAACATAGGCGAGTCCATGTCATTCTCACTGGTAACTTCTGAATCAGAAAATTGGAAGGGACTTTAATTATGTCATCTAACAACTGTGTTTTGATTCTCATTACACTGATATCCTATGAAATTAGAGATACATCTCAACCTTACAGAGCCCCATAAAAATGTATTATAATATTACCATTTTTTAAAACCTTACTTTAAACCTCAAGATTTTCTTTCAGACGATAGTACCAAATCAAACTTCCTTTGATAACTACACAGTGGAGCTCCCAACTTGTTAAATGATCATTGGACCTTTTGAGTTTTTAATTGGGCTTTGTAAATCCAGGGCTGTTTTTCAACTTGAGTAGACAGTGTATTAGATTCCTAGGGCTGCTGTAACAAAAAGTACCACAAACTGCATGGCTTTAAACAATGAAAATGTATTCTCTCTCAGTTCCCAAAGGCTACAAGTCTGAAATCAAAGTGTCCACATGTTTGGTTCCTTCTGGAATCTCCAAGGGAGA